CGCCTGTCAGACGAGGAGGATCCGCTGGCGCTGGCGCGCGTGATCCGCGAGGAGATCGCGTCCCCCGAGGATGAGTACGACATCCTTCGGTAGCATATCATGGGAGCCTTGCGTGCCCGCGTAATTCCGGCATCGAAGACGCCGGCGGTGAATCACCGCCGCCCCCAGCCTTTCAGGATGTGCTAGTAGTGCGGCCCTAGATCAAATCGCAGAATGTTCGGTCATGTTCGGCCCTTGACAGGCCAAGTCAGCCCCAAGAGAGCCTCAGGTCCCAAGGCGTCCGGCCCAAGACAGCCCCAAGAGCGCCCAAGCTACCTCCACGACGGCCTCAGTAAGGCCTAAGAGGGCCCCAAGACGGCCCGAGACCGCTCAAAGAGGGCCCAGGATGGCTTCAAGACGGCCAAAGAGGCCCTCAAGGCGCTCCACGAGGCTTCTAAAAGGACGCCCAAGAGGCAACCATCGTTTTTTTCTTTTGGAAAACGTACATTCGTAGGTGTTCCTGTGGTCGTCACGGCGTCCACGACGGCCCAAGAGGCCCCCGGGATCGCCCCAAGAGGGCACAAGAGGCCCACAAGACGAGGCTCAGAAGCTCCTGAGGGGCCCAGAAGGTTCCCAAGAAAGCCTCAACAGGGCCACAGTAGGTCCCCAAGAGGGCCCCAGATGGCCCCGAGAGGGCCCCAAGGCGGCCCAAGAGGGCCCCAGGACGACCCAAGAGGGCCCTAAGACGGCCCAAAGGAACCCCCAAAGGACCCCTAAGAAGGCCGGGAGAGGCCATATTCATTGATTTTCTCAGAAAGTTGGTTGTTAGTGTTTGGGATGACGTGCCAAAAGCTTAACACCAAGAGGGCCTAAGGCGGCTCAAGAGAGCCCCAAGACGGCCCAGAGGGGCCTCAGAGCGCCCCCAAAGGCTCCCACAAGAGTTTCAACAGGGCCACAGGAGAGCCCCCAGACGGCCCCAAGGGCATAGCCCCCCAAGACGGCTTAAGAGGGCCCCAGGATGGTTTAAGATGGTCAAAGAACTTGCAAGAAGGCCCGAAGAGGCCATACTCATTGATTTTCGCAAGGTTTGTTTGTTAGATTTCTCTTGTACGTGACAACGTCTTAACACCAAGAGTGCTTCAAGACATTACGCAAGCGACCTCGTGCCCTCGCAAAGTACAGGCGCTTTCTGTCCCCATGCAAAGCAGGTCGAATGGCCTTCGGCCCATCCCGCCATGGTGCCTGGGTGATGTTCGTTGGGATCTCGTGGGGGGCCTCTCGGGGGCTTCCTGGAGGCAGTTTTGATGCCTCTGGGGAGCTGTTTGGGGGCCTCTTTGGGGCATACGTTGGCCCTCTAGGGGGTCTTTTGTTGCCTTATGGGGGCTTTGGGGGGGCCTCTTGGGGCGTCTTGGGGGCCCCTTGGGCCCCCTGGGTGTTTCTTGGGGCGGAAGGCTCAGATTTTCATGTCGTGTCCCCCCTCGACTCTTGGCGCCGTCTTGGGGCCCTCTTGGGCAGTCTTGGGGCGGGGCCATTTGGGGGGCCTCTGGGGGCGCCTTGAGGCCGTCTTGGGGGCCGGTTGGGCCCTCTTGGAGCGTCGGAAGCTCGAAAAGTCGAGAACCCAAAATAGAGATTGGCCTCTTGAGAAGGCTCTTGGGGCTCTCATGGGTCGCCTCGAGGGCTTCTTGGGCCGTTTTGGTGCCACCTTGAGTGTCTTAGACCGATCGTGCGGCGATTCGGGGCCCCCTTGGGCCGTCTGGGCAGCCTCGCGGGGCCTTCTGGGCCCGTCTTGGGGCCCTCTGGGGCCCGACAGAGGCGCGCGACAAGATGCGACGCGCCCCGGGGGGGCACGCGACAAGCCCCAAGAGATTTGTGAAATTTGGGTCGTGGCCCCTTTATGAATCGTCAGGCTGAAGGGAAGCGCCTCTGGCGTGGACCGTTTTTCTGAAGCTCTTTTTCTCTACTTATGGGGTCCGCGCCGCACCCCGAACCTCGCTGGCCGATGACGAGAAGAGCATGTGAGGTACGAGAAGCGAGCTGGACGTTTCTAGCTGAACCTGCATCAGATTGAAGATGTATGCTATTACAGGGGGTTCGGGGTTGCACTTTGATGACGGGAAGCGCGCTGAGACTCGAAGTGTCGCGCGATGGACGTTCTCTCGGCCAGAGGCAGTATCAACTAGGGGGGGTCTGGGGAGGGAACGCGCGGGAGGCACCCGTGATCGAGGGCCTGGCGGATGACGGGAAGCGCTCTAAGATTCGCAGAGTCGCGCGATGGACGTCTCTGTGCCCAGAGGGATTTTTTACCTAACAGCGAAGACTGATCGGTTTCTAGTAGGGTCAAAAGAGAGCATCATGACTCACCAGGGGGGTCTGGGCGGGATCCGGGCGGGTGCCGCGGAAAACCGGGGACTCCTTTTGTAGCCAACAGTAACGCACTTCGTGGTCTTCGAGTTCCCAGAACTCCATTCCTGGGCATGATTTTGAATGCCCGGAGCCAACTGTAGGCCACTTCGTGGTCTTCGAGTTCCCAGAACCCCACTCCTGGGCATGATTTTGAATGCCCGGAGGCAATTGTAGGCCACTTCGTGGTCTTCGAGTTCCCAGAACTCCATTCCTGGGCATGATTTTGAATGCCCGGAGCCAACTGTAGGCCACTTCGTGGTCTTCGAGTTCCCAGAATTCCACTCCTGGGCATGATTTTGCATGCCCGGAGGCAACTGTAGGCCACTTCGTGTTCTTCCAGTTCCCAGAATTCCATTCCCGGGCTACATTTTGAATGCTGATGCAGGCTGAGGCTGAGGCTGAAGGCAGACTGAGGCTGAGGCTGAAGCAGGCTGAGGCTGAGGCTGAGGCTGAGGCTGAGGCTGAGGCTGAGGCTGAGGCAGGCTAATGCTAAGGCAGGCTGAGGCTGAGGCTGAGGCTGAGGCTGATGCAGGCTGAGGCTGAGGCAGGCTGAGGCCGAGGCTGAAGGCAGACTGAGGCTGAGGCTGAAGCAGGCTGAGGCTGAGGCTGAGGCAGGCTGAGGCAGGCTGATCCTGAGGCAGGCTGAGGCTGAGGCTGAGGCTGAGGCAGGCTGAGGCTGAGGCAGCTGAGGCTGAGGCCGAGCCTGAGGCTGAGGCTGAGGCAGGCTGAGGCTAAGGCAGCTGAGGCTGATGCAGGCTGAGGCTGAGGCTGAGGCTGAGGCAGGCTAAGGCTGAGGCTGAAGCAGACTGAGGCTGAGGCTTACGCTAAGGCATGCTGATGCTGCGGCATGCTGAGGCTGAGGCTGAGGCAGGCTGAGGCTGAGGCTGAGGCTGAGGCTGAGGCTGAGGCTGAGGCAGACGCTGAGGCAGGCTGAGGCTGATGCAGGCTGAGGCTGAGGCTGAGGCTGATGCAGGCTGAGGCTGATGCAGACTGAGGCCGAGGCCGAGGCTGAAGGCAGACTGAGGCTGAGGCTGAAGCAGGCTGAGGCAGGCTGAGGCTGAGGCTGAGGCAGGCTGAGGCTGAGGCAGGCTGAGTCTGAGGCTGAGGCAGGCTGAGGCAGACGCTGAGGCAGGCTGATGCTGATGCAGGCTGAGGCTGAGGCTGAGGCTGATGCAGGCTGAGGCTGAGGCAGGCTGAGGCTGAGGCCGAGGCTGAAGGCAGACTGAGGCTGAGGCTGAAGCAGGCTGAGGCTGAGGCTGAGGCAGGCTGAGGCTGAGGCAGGCTGAGGCTGAGGCTGAGGCTGATGCAGGCTGAGGCTGAGGCAGGCTGAGGCTGAGGCCGAGGCTGAAGGCAGACTGAGGCTGAGGCTGAAGCAGGCTGAGGCTGAGGCTGAGGCAGGCTGAGGCTGAGGCTGAGGCAGGCTGATGCTGAGGCAGGCTGAGGCTGAGGCTGAGGCTGATGCAGGCTGAGGCTGAGGCAGGCTGAGGCTGAGGCCGAGGCTGAAGGCAGACTGAGGCTGAGGCTGAAGCAGGCTGAGGCTGAGGCTGAGGCAGGCTGAGGCTGAGGCTGAGGCAGGCTGAGGCTGATGCAGGCTGAGGCTGTGACTGCGACTGCCGTTGCCACTGCGACTGTCATCGCGAATGCGACTGCGAGTGCGAGAACAGCAGAATTCTACAACTGGATTCTCATCTGAATCGTAAGGGGAATGCTTCCAGATATGCTCCCACACATCGCTGTTAGGTTGCTTTGCCGGGATTTTTTTATCAATTGGGGGGGTCTGGGGGGGAGCGCGCGGGAGGCACTCGTGGTCGGGGGGGTGGCGGGTGACGGGAAGCGCGCTTAGACTCGAAGAGTCGCGCGATGGACGTCTGCGTGCCCAGAGGGATTGTTTGTAAAGGGGGGGGGCCTGGGGGGGAACGCGCGGGAGGCACTCGTGGTCGGGGACGTGGCGGATGACGGGAAGCGCGCTAAGACTCGAAGAGTCGCGCGATGGACGTTCTCTCGGCCAGAGGCAGCATCAACTGGGGGGGGTCTGGGGGGGGGAACGCGCGGGGGGCACCCGTGATCGAGGGCCTGGCGGATGACGGGAAGCGCGCTAAGACTCGCAGAGTCGCGCGATGGACGTCTGCGTGCCAAGAGGGATTTGACCTAACAGCGAAGACTGATAGGTTTCTAGTAGGGTCAAAAGAGAGCATCATGATTCCCCAGGGAGGTCTGGGCAGGATCCGGACGGGTGCCGCGGGAATCCGGGGATTCTGTTTTTAGCCAACAGTAGCACACTTCGTGGTCTTCGAGTTTCCAGAACTCCATTCCTGGGCATGATTTTGTATGCCCGGAGCCAACTGTAGGCCACTTCGTGGTCTTCGAGTTCCCGGAACTCCACTCCTGGGCATGATTTTGAATGCCCGGGGCCAACTGTAGGCCACTTCGTGGTCTTCGAGTTCCCGGAACTCCGTTCTTGGGCATGATTTTGAATGCCCGGAGCCAACTGTAGGCCACTTCGTGGTCTTCGAGTTCCCAGAATTCCACTCCTTGGCATGATTTTGAATGCCCGGAGGCAACCGTAGGCCACTTCGTGTTCTTCGACTTCCCAGAATTCCACTCCCTGGCCACATTTTGAATGCTGAGGCAGGTTGATGTTGAGGCTGAGGCAGGCTGAGGCTGAGGCAGGCTGAGGCTGAGGCCGAGGCTG